GCTGACCGTTGTTGCATCTTCTCTGAAACACTGTGGGAAGACCACTTTCGGCTCTGTGCGCCAAGAGTTGAGGAAACTCAGGCATGAGCTAGCTGCCTTGCGAGCTGATCCTCTTCGAGTTGGTCCAAGCGAGGAAGAGAAACGGATCCAAAATCGCATAGTTGAAGTATCTTACCGAGAGGAGATCATGATGCGATAGAGATCGCGTATTCGGTGGCTTTCAGCGGGAAATAGCAACACCCAGTATTTTCAGAAGAAAGCTAGTGTTAGGAGAGCAAAAAACAATATTACGCAATTGCAGCACCAAGATGGATCGATGTGTACGGACCCGGCCGAACTAGCAGATATAGTCGGTTCTTTTTATGCTAATCTTTATGCTCCAGAGGGAACTATAGGTATGGAATAGGTTCTGTCACATATACCGACCAGAGTGGATGCAGCCATGAATGTTGGCCTCAATGCTCCTTACACTAAGGATGAGATAAAAAATGTGCTTTTTCAGATGTTTCCACCAAGGCCCCCAGACCGGATGGTTTCCCAGCTCACTTTTTTCAGTGGCACTAGGAGGTTTGTGGTGATGAGGTAACAGGAATGATCACTAGGGTGCTCAATGGAGATGACTCACCGGAGGAAATCAATCGCACGTTCATCGTCATGATTCCAAAGATAGCAAGTCCAAAACTGTTAGGACAATTTCAACCTATAAGCCTTTGCAATGTGATCTACAAGATCGCATCGAAGGTCTTAGAAAACAGGTTGAAGATTATACTCCCAGAGGTTATTTCTCAAGAGCAGTCGGCTTTTGTTCCTGGATGCCTTATAACAGACAACTTTATCATAGCATATGAATGTCTGCATTACATGAAAACAAGGAGAGCTAAGGGTAATCGCTACTGTGCACTCAAGCTAGACATGATGAAGGCTTATGACATAATTGAATGACCATATCTGGAGGCAGTTATGCTCAAGATGGGCTTTAGCCCGCGCTTCACAACTACGATTATGAGGTGTATAACTTCAGTTTCTTTTTCTGTCCTATTTAATGGTGGCATCTTGGATGATTTCAGGCCCTCAAGGGGTTTATGGCAAGAGGATCCCGGCTCCCCTTATCTATTCCTATTAGCTGCAGAGGGTTTGTCTTGTTTGCTGAAATCAGAAGGCCTTGGCGTTCGAGGCCTGTCGGTAGCTGCGTCGGCACCGGTTGTTAATCATCTTCTTTTCGCCGATGACAGCCTTTTATTCTTTGAAGCAACGACTGGTAGTGCATCCAAGGTGAAGGAACTTCTTGACATATACTGTGTAGCATCTGGCCAACGCATCAATACAGATAAATCGTCATTTTTTTCAGTAAGGGCGTTTCGGATTCAGCACATGTTGATATAAAAAATGTTCTTGAAGTTCAGAATGAATCTCTGAACGAGAAGTACTTGGGCCTGCCTACCTATGTAGGTAAGGCTAAGGAGGGCTGCTTTAGGTACTTGAAGGATAGAATATGGAAACAAATACAAGGATGGATGGAGAAATGTTTGTGAGCGGGGGGGAAGAAGTCTTGATTAAATCAGTTGCTCAATCCATTCCGGCCTACTCTATGGCGTGCTTTAAATTGCCTCGTGTTTTATGTGAACATATCAATGCTCTCCTTCGGAAATTCTGGTGGGGCAGTAAGCAAGGTCAGAGAAAACTAGCATGTGTGTCGTGGAAGACAATGTGCAAGCCCAAGTTTGTGGGAGGTATGGGGTTTCGAGATGTTGAGCTCTTCAATTTGGCGTTACTTGCTCGGCAAGTTTGGCGCTTGCTACATGACCCATCCTCTCTTAGTGCCCGTGTCTTGAAGGCGCGTTACTATCCACAGTCTGATATTTTGGACGCCACCTTGGGTACCCACCCATCTCAGGTTTGGCACTCACTTCTGGAGGGGCGAGATCTGTTAGCACTTGGGATCATCAAGAGAATTGGGTCGGGTTCCACCACTCATATTTGGCAAGATAATTAGCTGCCACGAGACTTCAAGCTAAGACCACTATGTGCTATTTCGGCTAGCCCACCACAGCTAGTCTCTGATTTGATTGAGTGCGTGACTAGGTCATGGAAGAAATATATCTTGGAGGAGCATTTTGTTTGCCTGGATGTGGATGTTATCTTGAACATACCACTGAGTTCCAGAGTACAGCATGATTTTTGGGCATGGCACTATGACAGGAGGGGTGTCTTCTCTGTCCGATCAGCCTATAAATGCTAAGTGGAATTAGGCAGCAGCGAGAAGATTGGCTCGAGCAGAGGACGACCCCGTCAAATGTGGCAGCTGAGCGTCACTCCTGGTCACAGTTATGGAAGGTTAAAATACCATCAAAGGTGAAAGTTTTTGTATGGCGTCTGTCACACATGTCACTGCCAACGGGAACTGTAAGACATGAGAGGAAGATGGCGACCTCGCCGGCCTGCTCTATATGCAACTCAGCTGAAGATTCTTGGCGGCACTCGTTGTTTGACTGTCGCATGGTGTCGGTGTCAAAACCGGCGGATCTCGGGTAGGGGGTCTCGAACTGTGCGTCTAAGGCTAATGGTAACAGGAGGCAGGGGACACGATGTTTTACCCAGGTTCGGGCCCTCTCGATGGAGGTAATACCCTACTTCCTGCTTGATTGATCTTGATGATATGAGTATTACAAGAGTTGATCTACCATGAGATCGTAGAGGCTAAACCCTAGAAGCTAGCCTATGATTATGATTGTTGTTGTCCTACGGACTAGACCCTCCGGTTTATATAGACACCGGAGGGGCCAGGGTTACACAGAGTCGGTTACAGAGAAGGAGATCTACATATTCGAATCACCAAGCTTGCCTTCCACGCAAAGGAGAGTCCCATCCGGACACGGGACAAATTCTTCAATCTTGTATCTTCATAGTCCAACAGTCCGGCCAAAGTATATAGTTCGGCTGTCCGGATACCCCCTAATCCAGTACTCCCTCACATGGCGTGGTGCATTTGGGCCCTGGGGGGATGAAGAAGCTCTTGAGCATTTGCTATCAAACAGAGTGCATGATGCCCGCCTTTGGCTATTTTGGTTGTTTGAAACGTTGAACCAACAAGACCTGGCAAGAGTGCTCATTACAATGTGGTCGATTTGGCGGGCGAGGAGGCGTGCAATACATGATAATGAGTTTCAGAGCCCTCTGTCAACTATGTGCTTCATCAATAGGTATTTGGAGGACTTGGAGATTGCTTTGGTGAGGACCGTACAACCAACTATGCGGGCAGCCAAGCCTCATGTCCAGAGGTGGATCGCTCCTGGTGAAAATTCGGCAAAGATAAATGTTGATGGAGGACTTTCACGCAATGGATGCATGGGCGCTGCTGCAGCTGTTTGTCGAAACAAGGATGGCAAGTATCTGGGAGCCTCGGCGACGATCTTTGAAGGACTAGTTGATGCACCCAATCTGGAAGCTTGTGCATGCAATGAAGCCCTCTCCCTCGCAAAGGATCTCAACATATCACATTTGATAATAGCTTCAGATTGTATGCAGGTTGTCTCGGATATCAACCAGGGTGCACAATCATCTTATTCCATGATTCTAGATGAGATTAGAGATAGAGTAAAGGGTTTTGTTAAAGTTACTTTTCGGTTTGAGGTTGGGGAAGCGAATTATGAAGCTCATGCCTTGTCAAAGGCAGCTTCATCGCTTTCGGAAGATCGCCACATGTGGCTAGGGATCCCCTAAACACTATTTGTATTCCGGATGATTTGAACAATGAATAAAATCCCTAGTTCCCCTAAAAAAGTTAGATAGCAGATGGCCCGTCTGGGAAGGAAAAAAAAGGGTTGCGTGCTCAATTGGGAGGGACAGTCACATGCATACATGTTATCCTCGCCGAGACCCGGTTCGGGCGATGTTTTTAGTGTCGTCAGAGAGCATGTGGAGGAGGTGTGTCTCTCGCCTCTTCGCGAATCCCGTGGGATCCTGTCGGCATTTGTTTTTGGTGGATCTGCTTGGATCCGATCTTTATTCGTCTACGTCTTTGTGTCTATAGGTTGGAACCTTCCCTGTCTATTATTTTATTCATCAGCGGCGGTTGCTATTCTGATGCGCTGGTTCTATGGGTCTTACCACAACAACTTCTCGTCCCGCTCCGATGAAGGAGGGACGATGACGGGCGGCGTGCCTTCGGCTTGGTCCAGTAGTTGTAGTCATCATTAGGTGGTGTATGAATATGGATGTAATTTTTACTTTTGATATTCTTTGTACTACCTTGAGGGTTGACAAATAGATTGAAAGTTTTTTGTTAAAAAAATATGAGATTGATGGACACATATGCATGTGCTATGCGAGTATGCGAGGGAGCGAGTGAGTAAAAATTTGGAATCCAATAACTCCCGAACGTTCGGATTTTGAGCATTTCATCCCGAACGTTTTTACATGGCAACTTTAGTTCATAGGGGATGGCAACTTCGTCTTTTTTCGTTTTTTTGTCAGAAAATTGTCATATTTACCTAATCTCACGCAAACTAAACTTGCCATCTAAACCCGTTTGGGTTGCCATGCTTAACTCCCGAACGCACGGGAGTTACATTACCGAAATTTTTTGAGAGCAACTTGTCGTGTGCATAGTAATTTCGAAAAAAAAAATGAGGCAAAAAGTGAGCGAGTAGTACAGTATAGAACGGAAGCAGAGTGGTACAGTAGCTAGGCCGCCGACACATATGACGGGGTGCAGCTTTGGCGGCCGCATACTTTTTTTATAACCTTCGACCCGCCTAGCGCGACCAATTCAAAGCCGATCTTGACACGACCGCCCCATCACTGCGCCGGCAACAAAGAAGAGTTAACAAGACCGGTGACGATGAGCTAGCAGCAAGTCAGACGGAGCTGGCGCCGGCGATCTCATCACGATATATATACAGAGCAAAGCTAAGCTTCACCTCAGAGACACTACCACACGCAGCTAAGATCACCGTGCCATCCCGTCGCAGCAGAGCACGAGACGCGCCTTCCCCGATCGCATGGCCGGCCTCGTGTCCCGGCCGCGCCGGAGCGTGCAGATGTACTGGGCGCGCAGGAACTACCAGCGCCTCGGCAGCGGCGGCTCGCCGTCGCGGCGCAGCGTCCGGGTGGCCCGCCTCGGCGGCGCGGCCGGGAGCAGGACGCGGGCGACGCCAGCAGGCGCCGTGCAGCGCCGTCTGCGGTGGCTGGCCGGCGTGGCCAGGCTGCGCGCGGCCGCGCTGCTGTCGCCGGTGCGGCTGCTCGCGAGGCTGCGGGACGCGTACGTCGACGCGATGCTGGCGCTGGCCGGGGGCGCCGGGCGGCCGTGCGCGGCGCTGGCGACGAAGCCCCGGGAGCAGGGCGAGCTGTGGGCGAAGCGGGTGCCCCGGGCGCGGTCGACCGCCGGCGGCGGCGACTTCGAGCGGCGGATGATGGCGCACATCTACAGCGCGCTCGTCACGCCGGAGCTGCCGGGCGCCGCGCACGGCACGGCCTGATTAAATCTTGGGCATGTCAGGGTTAATAATTTGCTGGCTGCACCGGCGATTAACCCCTCCTCGTGTTTTCTTTTATTTGTTTGTTTGGAATACCGTGACACGAAGCGTACTCCAATCTACGCCCCTTCAAAATGTTTATGAATACCGTGACAAACGCGTTGTACGATGAACATAGACTTCAATCTATGTCCCCTTAAAATGTTTATGGGGCGAGCAGGAGTAGCGCGCCGGAGGCATCGTAAATCTTGAACTTATCAAGATTCTGAAAAACTATCTTATATGCCATATGCATCTCTAGTTTAATGTATGTATAATACAACCCAGAAGATAGAGAAGGCAAATTCTCAAGGACTTCCTTTCGAAATCCCTTTTGCTGAGTTATGAGTAGGCATTCAGCCCCACTCTCTTCATTAGTTTCCACATGGAAACCATTTTTGCGGATATCCTTAAAACTCAGCAAGGTACGAGTAGAATCTGGATACAGTAGAGCATTCTGGATTACCAATTTAGTACCCATAGGGAGTGTAATTGTAGCTTGACCAGAACCAACAATTACCGTGTCTCGACCAGCAATTGTCATGACACTTCCATTACTCTTCTTGAGTGTTTGGAAATACTTCATCTCCCTAAGTATCGTGTTAGTAGATCCACTATCCACTAAACACATTTCCTCCTCCATTGTATTATTCCTTGAAGTTCGTTTTTCTTCTCCGGCGAGTTCCTGTGTGGCCTATCGCTCTCGCTGGAGAGAAGTGCGTGATAACGTGTGAAGAAACAGTGTGAATGAACAGTAATCAAATCACTAATGATGGATGTCGATGATGTACATATTTATATTTCCGGAAGGGACGGGTCGCGCAGGCGCGACCTTTACAAGTGATGCATCGAAAGAACGCGTCCATTACAATAGGACGTGACCCATCGGGAGAGGAACCGCACATCGGTTTTGCTAAGCAGGGATTTCCATTAATTAAACTAATTAATTAATCCTAACAATTACTACTTGAAGTTGAAGTTTGATAGTGTTGGAAGTCCGCACCTATAATTATCCCACAAAACTCCATTTCATCGAAATATAATGCAAAACATAAAGGGAAAACCTAGAAAACAGGGAACCAACGTCTTGCTTTCAAGTGTTTTTTCTTTGCGTCATTTTTCTACCTGTATCGCGCAGAAAGGGGAAGACGAAAAATCCAAATAGTACGGGGTCGGACTGTAAAAAGAACAAAATCAGAAACCGGAAAGGAAAAATCGGAAACCAATGGCTTCAGATGTTTTGCCCGCATGGAGCCCTTCGGAAGCGTTAGCTTGTTCCCTTTTGTAAGGAGTGCTCCTTTAGTTGCTCTCCTCACGTTGCCTTGGACCATCGACCACTTAACCATTGACCATTCACTTTTAAAAAAAGGTGAAATTGAAAAGATTTCACTTTTTTAAGTTCACGAATCTAAAGAATGAAATTCTTTATAAAATTCTAAGCAAATAGTGAATTTATAAAAAAATCAGTAATTTGAAAAGGTTCTTAAATTTTAGAAAAGGTCACTATTGTGTTTTGCAAATTTATGTAAAGTTCATGAATTTGAAAAAGTTCTCAAATTTTAAAAACAATTTGGTGAATTCAAAAAAGTTCATGAATTTCAGAAAATTTCATGAATTTAGAAAACTTCATGATTTTGATAAAGTTTTTAAGTTAAAATGGTTTGGGAATCTGAAAAAATTTCACAAATCGAAAAAAGTGTAGGAATTTAGGAAGGTTCATATATTTAAAAAAAAGTAAAGGAAAAACTAAAGTAGAAATGAAAAGCCGGACATAAAACCAGAAACGACAAAACTAAAAATAAACCTGACTTGAAGCTCTACCATTGGGAGCTTCACAGGAACCAATGAACGTTTCTACATGGGCGGGCCGAAGAATTCTAGCACAGGGAATGGGTCACCGGTTAGCGACCGCGCGCGTATCACCCTCAAGCTGGTTTTTTACTGGCCGGCCCATTTCTGTGTTTCGTCCACACCTGTTTTGGGAAGGTTCTAGAAACCTTCCCTGAACCGGTTTAATATTTTCTTTCTTTCTTTCTTTCGTTTTCCCTCTTTCTTTCATGTTTCTTTTTCTGTTTTTTATTCCTTTTTTTCATTTTGCGAAAATATTTTAAATTTGTCAAACTTTTTTTAAAACCGTGAACTTTTTTGTGTGGTTGTTTTAGAAATCTGAACATTTTCTGAAATTGGAAACATTTTTTAAATTTGCAAACAATTTTCTGAAATTATGAAAATTAAAATTTGCAAACAATTTTCTGAAATTATGAAAATTATTTATAAATTCATGAAAGTACTCTTATATCATGAATGTATTCTTAATTCATGTACAATTTTTCCAAATCTTTTTTTTGGAAATTTTTTCCATTTGTTTACAAATTCGTGAACATTCTTTTAAATGGTAACATTTTTTGAATTCACGAACAAAGTTTTGAACCATAAATATTTTTTGAAATCATGAACTTTTTTAAAATTCGTGAAGAATTTTTAAATTCATAAACGTTTCTCTTAAACAAGGAACATTATGTGAATTCCTAAACAGATTTTTTGGAATCCTGGACACTTATGGATTTCATTAACAATTTTTTAAAATCTGCAACTTTTTTACAATTTAAAACATTTTGATAACCCAAATAATTGAAAAAACCCGAGAGAAAATAACAGGGGGCGTCCCTGCCGGCACAAGGGCCGGCCTAGAAGGGTGCACTCACGGCTGGTTGGTCATCCTGGAGGTATGTACAATCTCCTCGAGAGATTCCACAATTTAGACATATTGTTCTTTGTAATGGGATCTCTAAGCTATGCTCCATGCACGATCCTTGCTACCCAACATGCATATAGGGTGTTGAGTCTATAAAGAACAAATTAACGCTTTAAGTAAGATGATATAATGTAGACAAAATAAACCAAACAATATAATTGAACCCCGACGTTTTCCTCTTAGCAGCAACAATACAAATATGGACCTCGCTACCCCTTCTGTCAGTGGGTGAGGAAACCGCAAGATTGAACCTACTATCATGCACCACTTCCACTGAAGATCTACTCATCAACTTGGCCAAAGAAAACTCAAAGATCGAAAAGCATTAGATAGCTATAACAACCACACATAATAAAGTTCAGAAAAAGCTCAAGTACTTTTAATGAATAATCCGATGATAAACCTACAATTCAACGGATCCCAACAAACACACCGCAAAAAAGATTACATTGAATAGAATTCGAGAAGAACATTGTATTGAAGATCAAAGAGATAGATAGAGAGAGAGAGAGAATGAGTGAGAGAGAGAGACCCATAGATCTTGTGGAAACTACTCACACATCATCGAAGGTGAATCAAGGTTGATATAGAAGCCCTCTGTGATAGATTCCCCTCTGGTAGAATACTGAAAAAGGCCTCCAGGTGGGATCACGGAAAAAAGAGACTTGCGGTGGCGGAAAAATTGTTTCGGTGGATGCTCTATTTTTTCCCAATAATAGAGAATTTACAGGGCTGGAATTAGATCAGAAGGAGCCACGTGAGGATGACAAGATATCAGAGCGCGCTCTACCCCCCAAGGCATGTCATGTTGCCTTGTCGTCTCCTCGTAGGTCTTCTGGTCCTCCCATGAAGTTTCTAGGGTATCTTCATGTCTAGAAAAAATTGTCAAAAAGTTTTGTCGTATTCAGACTTCGTTTGGTATAGATTTTCTGTAACACAAAAAATAAGCTGAAAATAGCAACTGGCACTAGGCACTAGATTAATAGGTTAGTTTCCCAAAAAAGATATAAAATTGCATATAAAGTATATAAGATTGATAATATAATAGCATGAGACAATCCAAAATTATAGATAGGTTGGAGACGTATCAGAGACTCGGGTCATCTTGGATCAGGGCGACAGTCATCGGCATGATGAGGCTACCATGGCGAGGTTTAGGGCGGAAAATATGCACCTCGTGTTGGAGGAGTATGAGTAGTCGGTGCATCGGAACAAGCCGGTGATAAGGGGGTGAGGAAGGAGAAGGAGGAGGAGGAGGAGGAGGACGCTGGTCCCTCAAGGGTGATCGAGCTCGATTCGAAGGACGGGACGATTCGGGCTCCGATATTGGCTGGGACAATCTCTGAGTAGTTTGCAGTCGAAGTAAGTTTCTATCCGAACTGAATGTCTTGAAACCGGGTACATATGAACCCGCTTTTAAAAAAAGCATTTTAAACATGTTTTAAAAGGTGAATATTTTCAAAACAAAATTTCACGTCTACCATCTCCGCAAAATATGTGTACGACATAAAATTTAGCGAAAAAATGCCTTTTTTTGCCTCCGCAAAAAAGACAAATTTCAGTGCTTTCAAATAGCGTTTCAAGACACTTTCTTTTGTCTTTTTTGCACGGGCCAAAGATAATTTTGTTTTTCAGCGAAAGTTTCGGTGCGCACATACAATGTGGAGCTGTACATGTGGAACTGTTTTTCAGATTTTTTTGGCAATTAGAAATGTGTTTTCTGAAGTGGGCTCATATGCACCCAGGTTCATCCACGTATTTTCCGACTCCTATGCTTTCTTTCTATGTACCCACACATGTAGATGTAGCCTACTTTCACCCGGGTCCTGGCTGTCCCCGAACGGCAGATAGCCAAAGCAGCAATACAACTATACAAGCGTACCACCACAATTCAAATTGCACAATGTTTCACGTTTAGTCGTTTACAGAGGATGCGGTCATGTGGACGATTTACGTTTTCTGAAGATGAGTGCATGGCAACGTTGTGCTCCCCGTGCCGGGCGACCGGCGGCCGCCTCGAGCAGTCCATCACTACTAATTCTGAAATTAAGCGGCGACCGGCCTTGGGATGTGGCCGCAGTTTTCCGGCGTGGCGGAGACGCTCTTCTGGGCGCGCAGTTGCTGGTAGAACCTCCTGATGAACTCGTCGGCTTCCCTGTCCACCTGCTGGTGCTCGCTCGCCGTGAACGGCGAGTAGGTGATGTGCAGCTTGTCCGTAGCCGGCGACGCCCACGTGGTCGGAGAAGGCGTCGCCGCCGCGAGCCCATCCTCGTCGTCGAAGAGGTGCCCGCTGTCGTTGAGCATCTCGAGCACCCTCGCGATGTCGGCCGCGTCGTAGCTGCTGTAACAGCCGGCCGCTTCGTCGCCACGGTGCTTCGCCGCGACGGTTGAGGAGCGAGAGCGGGCCGCCGCGCGGCGGTGGAAGTTGACGAAGCCGCCGAGGGCCTTGCTGGCGTCCCTGCTGCGGTGGAGGTCCATGGCGAGCTTACGCCCGGACGACAGCGCGCCGCGGCGCAGAAGGTAGATGACGGTGCGCGCCAGGCGCCACAGCCGCCGCCCCACGCTCTTGGGCTGAGCAGCGGTGGTCTTCCCGGCGACGACCTTGACGGCCATTTGCAACCGAGATAAGCGGTATCACTCACTCTCGTCTCGCTCTGGGTCGTTGGATAGGAATAGGATAGGGATGTCAGGTATTTGAAGGAGCGAGGGTTCTGTCTCGTGTGTCGTCGCGTGCCGGGCTGGGTCGGAAACGAGGGCTGGTGGCTTACATTATTGGTCGTGGTTGGCGAAGGATATGCAGCCTTTTCTTTGAGCACCAACCTGCCTGATTAGAGTACTTTTTTTCTTCCTTTTTAAGGTTGCATGATTGGGGTAAAATAATAATATGGGAGATGTCAGGTTGCAACCCTGGGTTTTCAGTGTCTGCATGGATATGGATGTCGATGTTCTCAACACATCTTGGAGAACGACTTGGAGTTGTCTCGAGTATCGACGTCGACGCAGCCGTGCTGATGCTCGTGCCATTGGTGCAGTGCGGCATAGGTCACTCTAGGCCATACTTGCTCGTACTCTGGAAAAAATGACAGGGTGCTGAGTTCAACTTTAACGAAGATGAGACATGTGCATCCGTCATAAGAATGCCGTATATTCATAGGGGTGAGTTTGCATTCGTGTTGTGAGGATCTGTACTATATTTTTCAAGAAAAAAAAAGGCAAGAACAGTAGTTTCATCCAACTAACAACTACTTATAACGTATACTGTACATGGTAACACAATTGTTGATTAAAAACAACAAAACACAATTATTGGTGTCTTCACCTGCTTTAGATAGGCCAGGGCCACGTCCTTCTCTTTTCTTTTTTGTTCTGATCCGAGCAAAGGGAAGTCCTTAGTTACATACGACAGGCCACTTAAAAATCCACATGTTCGAATAGTTGAGAGCACTCCTGTCAAATGGTGTCCCCCTATGGCGGGTTGGGTGAAACTGAATACTGATGGGTCCTTTGCAGTAAATGGTACGGCTGGTGCGGGGATGGTGCTGCGAGATGACAAAGGTAATGTCATCTACTCAGCTTGCAGGGAGCTTTTTTCATGCCGAGAAATTCTTGAAGCTGAGTTGTGTGCTTGCATGGAAGGCCTGTCTTTTGCAATTCAGAGAAGCGACTTGCCGATCATTATTGAGATGGACTCCATTATTGCAGTCAAGCTGATTCAAGCGATGGATATTGATAGATCGATCTACTCTTCTTTAGTTAAAGAAATTAGACACCTGATGTCTCTTCGTGATTCTTGTATTACTCATATAAATCGTACGCAAAAAAAGGTTAGCGATAGCTTAGCAAAGTTTGCTAGACAAGAGGGTAGAACAATGACCTGGGTTGGGTCAGGCCCATCAGTTTCTTTAGAGCTAGCCGAGGCTGATTGTATGGACATTGAGATTTGAGTAATGCAAAGATTTTACCTGCAAAAAAAAAAGGACACTTGTTGCCAAAATAAGAGCGCTTTGCATGATCCACGTAGCACATAGCACCACACCAGATTTCATCTACACGTAAGAGGTCGGTGCTACAAAGTACAAAACTCATGTGCCGAAAGTTTGTTTTCAAGTGCTCAACGGATTGTTATCGGAATTTAGGAGAAGTAGAGATTAGGTTTTTCTCCCCTATATCCCTTGATGGCTAGGGTAAATTCTTCCCTCCAATCTTCACCAATGAGCCTGTAGGCTCGTTTCCCCTCTACCTGCCCCTTCGGCGGCCGGTGACGGGGAGGGGAATTCTGATGCCTCCCCTCTGGTTAGTAGTTTAGCTTAGGTTTTTGTTTTGTCCTTGCATGTGCAGTGCTTGGACGGATGGCGACACTTTTTTTTTGAGTTTGTCTTTCAGGCTTCAATCCTCCTCGAGTTTTCAGTGTCTGCATGGATATGGATGTCGATGTTCTCAACGTCTCGGAGAAAGACTTGGAGTTGTCTCGAGTATCGATGTCGACGCACTCGTGCTGATGATGCTTGTGCCGTTTGGTCCAGTGCGGCATAGGTCACTCTGGAAAAAAAATGACAGTCTGCTGAGTTCAACTTTAACGAAGATGAGACATACGCATCCGTCACAAGAATGCCGTATATTCATGGGGTGAGTTTGCATACGTGTTGTGAGGGTCTGTATTATATTTTTCAAAAAAAAGAGGCAAGAACAATTTCATCCAACTAACAGCTACTCCCTCCGTTCCTAAATACAGAGTATTTGTCTTTTTAGAGATTTCAAATGAACTACCGCATACGGATATATATAGACATATTTTGGAGTGTATATTCACTTATTTTGCTCTGTATGTAGTCACTTGTTGAAATATCTAGAAAGACAAATATTTAGAAACGGAGGGAGTATCGTGCTTATATTTTTTTAAACAATCACAGGGGGAGAGAATCCCCACTGAATCTACGTGCTTATAAAGTATACATAGTAACACAATTATTGATAAAAAACATAATTATTGGTTAAAAACCAAAACAACACAATTATTGGTGTCTTAATCTGCTTTGGATAGACCAGGGCCACGTCCTTCTCTTTTCTTTTTTTTTTTCGGATAAAGGACACTTGTTGCCAAAATAAGAGCGCTTTGCATGATCCACGTAGTACATAGAAAAATATGGTACGTAGCACCACACCTAATTTCATCTACACGTAAGAGGTCGGTGCTACAAAGTACAAGACTCATGTGCAGAAAGTTTGGTGTCAAGTGCTCAATAGATTGTTATCCAAATTTAGGAGAAGTAGAGATTAGGTTTTTCTTCCCTATCCCTTGATGGCTAGGGTAAACACTTCCCTTCAAACTTTACCAATGAGCATGTAAATTCGTCTCCCCTCTGCCTGTCCCTCTGACTTTCCGGTCGTCATCGACAAGGTCAAACCGGCTTCGATAGGAGAGCGGCGGCAGCGGTGGATCGACGGCTCGTTCTGGCGGCAGTAGTGATTGTTGGGTGATCTCGAAATATCAATACAGTTTTATTATGTTTGAGATGATTTGCACTTCCGATAAATTTTGATAATAGATTTGGGGGCGGGAAGTATAAATCACCCAAATCTATTATCAAAGTTCATCGGAAGTACAAAACATCTCAAACATAATGAAAACTATATCGAGATTCCGAGATCACCCAACAACCACTACCTCCGCCAGTACAAGCCGCCGACCCGCCGCGGTCGCCGCTCTCCTATTGAAGCCAGCTTGACATGTCAATAACAACCTGAAAGTCTTTATGCACGTGCGCCTTAGGACCAGCGCCCTGGAGCCACAGTCGCCGTCGTTCAACCATTGAATAGATCTGAAGCAGCTCACACAAAATCCCGCGACACAACGAGCAAACCTAACATTAGTACCCCAAGACGGTAGGAATCCACGCCAGAGCTCCGTCGAATACGTCCAGATGGACGAACTTGAGGAGGATCGAAGTCCGGAAGACAAACTCAAAGAAGAAGCGCCACCATCCGTCCAAACGCCGCACATGTGAGGACAAAAGAAAGAAAGAAAAAACCTAACCTAAAGTACTAACTACAGAGGAGACATCGGAATTCTCCTCCCCGTCACCGGTCGCGGGAGGGGCGAACAGAGGAAAGACAAATCGATAGGCTCATTGGTGAAGCTTGGAGGGACGAGTTTGCCGTAGTTGTCAATGGATGAGGAAGAACAACCTAATCTCTACTTCTCCTAAATCTTGATAACAATCTATTCACCAAACTTTCGGCACATGAGTTTTGTACTTTGTAGCACCGACCTCTTACGTGTAGATGAAATTAGGTGTGGTGCTACCATGTTTTTCTATCTGCTACGTGGATGATGCAAAGCGGTCTTATTTTGGCAACAAGTGTCCTTTATCCGAACAAAAAAGAAAAGAGAAGGACGCGGCCCTGGCCTATCCAAATTAAAGCAGATCAAGACATCAATAATTGTGTTTTTTGTTTTTAGCAAATAATTGTGTTTTTTTCCAACCAATATTTGTGTTACCATGTATACGTGATAGTGGTTGTTAGTTGGATGAAACTGTCCTTGCCTTTTTTTTTTGAAAAATATAGTAATGCAGATGCTCACAACACGAACGCACACTCACCCCCTACCGAATACCGATACACGGCCATCTTCCGACGGATGCGCATGTCTCATCTTGCTTAAAGTTGAACTCAGCAAAGTGTCGTTTTTTCCAGAGTACGAGCAAGTATGGCCTAGAGTGACCTATGCCGCACTGCACCAACAGCACGAGCAACAGCACGGCTGCGTCGACATCGATGCTCGACACAACTCCAAGTCCTCCTCCCAGATGTTCAGAACATCAACATCCATATCCATTCTGTTCGGGGAAAAAATACATATCCATGCAGATACTGAAAACCTGGGGTTGCACAAAAACCTTAAAAAGGAAGAAAAAAAGCACTCCAATCAGGCAGGTTGGTGCTCCAAATCCTTCGCCAACCACGACCAATAATGAAAGCCACCATCCCTCGTTTCAGACCCGGCCCGGCACGCCACGACACACAAGACACAACCCTCGCTCCTTCAAATACCTGACATGACATCCCTATCCTATCGACCAAGAGCGACAGTGAGTGACAGTATCGTTAGTACCTATCCAACAACCAAGAGCGAGACGAGAGCGAGTGACACCGCTTATTTCGGTTGCAAATGGCCGTCAAGGCCGTCGCCGGGAAGACCGCTGCTGCTCAGCCCAAGAGCGTGGGGCGGCGGCTGTGGCGCCTGGCGCGCACCGTTGTCTACCTTCTGCGCCGCGGCGCGCTGTCGTCCGGGCGTAAGCTCGCCATGGACCTCCACCGCAGCAGGGACGCCAGCAAGGCCCTCGGCGGCTTCGTCAACTTCCACCGCCACGCCGCGGCTTGCTCTCGCTCCTCCTCTGTCGTCGCAGCGAAGCGCCGTGACGACGAAACCGTCGGCTATTACCACAGCTACGACGCGGCCGACATCGCCAGGGTGTTCGAGATGCTCAACGGCAGCGAGCACCTCTTCGACGACGAGGACGGGGGGCCCGCGGCGGCGACGCCATCTCCCGCCGCGTGGGCGTCGCCGGCCTTCGGGCGCAGCAGCGCGGCTACGGGCCAGCCGCGCGTCA